GACATATTCCAGAGCAACTAGGTATTTAATGCTAAATTGCATACTTCAATTATTACATTAATTTTCTCGGACAATAGAACGGTTTTTATTTTTGTACTCAAAAATGGCGCATCGAATGAAAGCAACTCAAGAAAGATCATTTGTTTTAAATTGAACGGGGAATTCCAAAATAATTTTTAATTGGCATAAAACTATTGGCGTACCATTTTTTTCTTAATAAAATATCGAAGTCAATACCCGAACGCACGCTACTGTTAAAGCTAAAAATTATTTTTGCATCGAAAAATATGCAACTTTTTTAACTTTCACTACTTACTAAATATCAGTGAAATATCTGAAGCGGTTCTGAAAATATTAATTAATTTCCATTTTTTCCTAAAACTTCAACACCCCGAGTTTTTATAAGGAAACATTTTTGGACCATAGATTATAAAGCAAAGTAACATTAATTTTTTATTTAGATTCACACCCTTAAATATTCGCATATCATTAAGGAACACCCTGTGTATGCAATAATCATTCCCTCATATAATTTTCATTGCCTCACTTTCTAATATAGTGAGGGAATGAGCGTGAAGGAATGACGGATTTGCATAAAATTGATTTAGCATTTTGTGAATGCATTTTACTCCCCAAAACAAGAAAAAAATCATTAAAATATTCGAACAGTATAATGACTTACCTTTTACTATAAACAGTGAGGTAATGACACAGAGAAATATAATGTTCTAATTATTGAAATCCAATATTTTTTTGCAGCAATTCTTTTTACTATTAAGAAATTCCGCCATATTGACATTATTAGCAGTATTGCCAAGTTTCAAAAACATAACAGCTACGTGCAGAAATATGAAATGGTGTGACCAGAAATCGATTATTTATAATAATAATAATAATAATAATCCGGCTTTATTTATACAAAGTATAAAAAGGCGAAGTGTCGCTAAAAAGCGTTTTTCAACTTAACCCAACAAATATTGATCTATATTTTCTAATTCCAATGAAAACAAGGGGTGGGGGAATGATTTCATTTCAAGGGACATAATTTAAATAGATTTTTTTATATACATATCTATTTTTTAGCAATGAAAGCTTGACTATACAGTCCATACTTACCAAATATTTTAGTAATATACTAAGTGACATATAAAGTATATGATAAAAATGATAAAAATTTCAAAATGTTTGCACTGCTTTAAAGCCCTTTGACCTTTAATAATGTGTGGATGCACCCTGATGTGCTACGCATTCTCCAACGCGCCTAGGCATGCTTCTGATCAGGTGGTCAATGTCCTCCTGTGGTATCTCATTCCAAGCAACCACCAACTCCTCTCGAAGTGCTTCTAGAGTCTGAGGAGGACGTTGCAAATTGAGCAATATCCTACCCATCATATCCCACACGTGCTCAATTGGGGATAAGTCGGGAGATCTTGGTGGCCATGGTAACAATGTGACATCATTATCTTGAAAGAAGTCTATCGTGACTCTTGCAACATGTGGTCGGGCATTATCTTGTTGGAAAGTTGGATCTGCCAGGGTGTCAAGATAGGGTAAAAGATGGGGTTCTAGAACTTCATGGATATAACGCTGCGCGTTCATGTTACCTCTGATGAAGATTAAAGGTGACCTGGAACCATAAGCTATAGCACCCCAAACCATAACTCCAACAGTGTGATGAACATGTCTTTCAACAAAAAACTGTGGATTCCTCCTTTCACCACGTCGTCTTCTAACCCTGGCACGACCATCGTGCATGCCTAAACAAAATTGACACTCGTCACTAAAGACAATACTGTTCCATTCCTGATCCCAGAGTGACCGTTGTCTGCACCACTCAAGGCGATTACGTCGGTGTTCTCGAGTTAAAGGGAGGACCCAGTGTGGCCGGTATGAAAACAAGCCAAAACTTCTCATTCGTCGGTAAACACTTCGCATGCCAATAGGTCTTCCGTGTTCGGCAAACCATTCATTTGCAATGGACCTGGTAGTGGAGAAACGGTCCCTTAAGGCCAATAATCTTAGGCGGCGATCTTCACGGTCTGTTGTTCTACGGCGGTGTCCAGTGCCCCTTGCTCTTTGCGTACGGCCTTCTCGAAGCCATGCCTGACACCTAACCACAGTGTCTACACTTCTTTGCACTGTAACTGCAATTGCCCGAAAAGAAAGTCCAGCTTCCCGAAGTCTCACTATACGGCCCCTATCAAACTCACTAAGTTGACGAAATCGTACAGGTCTCCGTACTCTAGGCATCGTAACTGATCGTAAAGGATGTCAAGAACCAAAATCCGCCAACGTTGATTCTTTACTGCGGCTGAAATATACATTTTTACAGCGTTAGTGAATTAAAAAAAAGCAGTATAAAAACCGGAATGTCCAACTGATATGGCTGAAAATTTTTTCACTTGTTATTTACAGTAAGATAAATACATTCACCAACTTTTATTAAAATATGTAAAACAATTTAAACTGGGTGTTCGGATTTATATGTCACTTAGTATATTCAATTTATAAGAATATGAACAGATTTGATTGTATATATTTTTTTATTATTCATTTCATACCCAGGGACGAGATGAGGGAATGACTTTTAGACTAATAAATTAATCGTATTTTTTTGTGTCAATATATTATAAAAATTTTTGCTTTTAAAATATTAGTGTAAATACTTATTGATATAATGAAAATGTTAAATTGATGATAAATCCTTGCAACTTAGCATCAATGGCTCAGGACATGAATTTCGAAATTTGCTGAGAAATACCCAATTATTATCAAAATCTGAGCTGTTCTCGAGGATTGTTTTGTTATGTATTCATTGACGCGACTAGTACTGAAGACGTACGATTTTTCAACCTCTGCCACCCTGATTAATTGGGTGAATAAAAGGATCATCAGAAAGTCGACAGCTTTTCCAAAATGTGTGTAGGCATACCGCCATCTTGAATCATCTCGAGATCCGGAGCGATTCTATCGTAGCATGTCAATTAGCTGCAGCGGCACTGGGACTAATGTAATATTCCGCGCGGAAAGAGGGTTTTGAGGTTTGCATACAAATTAAAAACCATGGTCTGAGTAAGCATGAGCGTAACATCGGATTTCTGGCTGATGTACACTGAAGTTGAATAATTTCATTGTTGATGATATGTAAGAGATTTTGAAACTGAAGATGTGATATTTTGGGGGTGCTGTTGATAATATTTTCGATTAGGCAAAGCAGACTGTTCTACTAGTTCCAGCTCACCTTCTTCATAGTCCATATTCGCAACAACTAGGAAAATATTAGTTCGTTTTTCTGCATAATCTTACGTATTCAAAAAGGACTCCACTTAACGGGTGTGTATGTTGCCAGGCCCAAAATTGCAGCAAAAAGCTTTCTAAACAAATTCCAAGAATTGTTTTTGCTCTACGGGCAGTTTTTTCTAACGTTTTTGGTTCCTTATGAATAAAAAAGTCTTATGCACATTTGTCTAAAGTTGATAGTTTTCTAGATATGACTCCAATAAAATGCGCTGGGATTTTATTAATATGTGTCTAATGATCGATTTTACGAACAACATTAATATTTTATGGTCAGTTGGACGAATGGTAAAATACCGTATCGGAATGTAATTTAACGAAAGCTGCCAAAGCTCTCTGAATATCAGTGATTTCTATTGAAATATTGAATAAAACCGTGAAAAAGCGATTTTATTATAAACAAGAGCACTTTTTGATTCCATCATGGTGCTTTTGTGCAGAGAACTCCACTCTCGTAATGTCCGGGTGGAGGGAGGGAGGGAATAACATCGAAGATAAAATTTGTTTTTCGAACATCTGTGGGATTAACAGCAGCATTGATGCTGTTCATCACTACCTGCAATCCAATCGCCGTGCGTTTCTTGGCGGAGACAAAAATCTCAGAGTCTGCACCGATTAACCATCTTAACTTCCCAAATTACGAGGTGCACTCCAATCTGAGAAAGAACGGGGGAGTTGTGGCTTTTGTCCGCAGCAGTCTTTCCTGCTCCAGAGGTGTTTCTTTGGAATCAGGCCGGAAGATCGTTCTGTGGCTGAGCTTTGATTGGCCTCAAACAAGACCGATGCAGCAGGCTTGCTGGATCTGTTTCTGACCACGCATCCTGTCCCTTATAGCACTGCTGTCCTGTCCGCCCTGGGTAACTCAGACCACGGTGGTTAGGTTTCGGTCAGAACCCGCTGTGGCAGCAGAAACTCGTATAAGCCGCAAAACTTGGCATTACGGACATGCCGACTGGGAGGGGCTCAGAGACTTCTTCTCTAGCTTTCCTTGGAGAGATGTCTGTTTCACTGACGTGGATGCGTCGGCTGTCTGTTCTTCGATAACCGAAATTATCCACGTCGGAATGGACGAATACATCCCTCACACAGTGAAAGTGCCTAAACCAGGGTCCAACGGCTGGTTTATCAAATCGTGTGACACTGCTCGCCAGCAGAAGATCAAGACACACAGAACCTTCTTACAAAACCCCGCTGTAGAGAACAGACAAGCCGACGTCGAGTCCAGAAACAAATATAACGAAGAGGTTCGCAATGCCAAAAACCAGCTCGATATAAAAGTTAGGCACAGGGTAATGTCGCAGCGCAATGGCAGTCGGTCTTTCTGGACGCTGGCCAAGCAGATTGAAAAGAACTTCTCACACAGTAGCCTTCCACCACTTACATGTGCGGGAGGTAACATTCAGGCATAAGACCGTAAGACGAGTGCTCTTGTCGCTCGACATCAACAAAGCTTCTGGTCCGGACTTGATACCTGCCATTGTACTGAAGAGGGGTGTGCAGCGGAGCTTGCTCCAGTTCTTTCGCGTCTTTTCCAGATATCTTATGAATCCGGCACCTTCCCAGAAAACTGGAAATTTGCTCATGTCCAACCCGTCTCAAAAAAAGGATCTAAGACCGACCCTTACAACTACAGGCCTAAATCTCTGCTTTCTGTTATAAGTAAAGTGATGGAGAGGTGCATCAATCGCGAGCTTCTGGACTACCTCGAAAGTCACAGCTTGATTAGCGACAGGCAGTATGGTTGCTGGCACCAACGATCCACAGGGGACCTCCTAGCCTACGTCACGCAATTGTGGAGTAAACTCATCCAGTCTTATGGTGAGGCTCATGTCGCTGCTCTTGACATCACGAAAGCGTTCGATCAGCTGTGGTCCGCTGCCCTCTTAAGCAAACTTCCATCCTATGGGCTTCCAGAAAAGCTTTGCAGATGGGTGGCTGACTTTATCTCTGGCCGCAAGATATCCGTCGTAATTCACGGGTTCTCCTCTTCATCTCCTTTCCTGTACGATCAACCCAATCCACAGCTTCGCTAATGACAGCACTCTACATGCAGGAATTCAGAGTGACAAGCCGATCTCTGCCGCTGAGCTGGAAAGAAGAAGACTAGCGACGACTTCCTCTCTGACAAGAGACCTGGAGGCTATCACTGCTTGGGGACGCAACAATCTTGTACAGTTCAATGCTTCCAAAACATAATACTATACTTTGACGAACAAAAAGCGTCCTAGCGCTCATCCGGTTTCTATGGATGGCCGAGCTCTGCCGAAGAGCCATTCCTTGCGGCTGGTCGGAGTCCAGATCACCGAGGACCTGATCTGGCACGAACACATCTCGTCAATAGCAGCAGCTGCTGGGAAAAAGCTAGGCTATTTGTTTAGTGCTAAGAAGTACTCTTCTCCGCATGAGCTTCTCACTCTATTCAAGGCCCAGATAAGGCCTAGCGTGGAGTATTGTTCACACGTTTGGGGTGCTGCCGCCCCGACTACATTGTCCATGTTCGATGCTGTCCAGAGGAGGGCGGTCCGACTGATCGATGACTCTTCTCTAATAGACAGTCTCGGGACCCTTTCGCACCGGTGGGCCGTCGGCGATCTAGCTCTTTTCTACCGCTACACCATCAGGCTTTGCGCCTCAGAGGTCTCTTCCATGATGCCGCCGCGCGATGTGCCTGCCAGGCAGACCCGCCTGACTTTGGCGTCCCATCCTAACCGTGTCGAACTTCGTACATCCAGAACTGGCCGATACGACCGCTCCTTTGTCCCGAGGGTGTCCAGATTGTGGAACAATCTACAAGAGGAAGCTTTTCCCAGTTCTACTAACCTTATTCAGTTCAAAAACCGTATTAACAAATTTTCTTTGGGATCAACATAGCAGCCGCGGTGTTCCGGCATTTAGTCTTCTGCCTGCGCGGCTGCCGATATATAAAAGAAAACATGACAAATTTCATCTATTTTGCTATTTCTTATCAATTTACAAATAACGTTAGAATCTAGCTATTATATTTAATAGTATGTTTGGACGTTTGTTAATGCATTCCAACCTCGAATTTATTTAGTTCTACATACTGAGTGCTTACATGTTATCATTATATACTAAGTGACATATAAATCCGAACACCCAGTTTAAATGGTTTTATTTTAATAAAAGTTGGTGAATGTATTTATCTTACTGTAAATAACAAGTGAAAAAATTTTCAGCTTTATCAGTTGGACATTCCGGTTTTTATACTGCTTTTTTTAATTCACTAACGCTCTAAAAATGAATATTTCAGCCGCAGTAAAGAATCAACGTTGGCGGATTTTGGTTCTTGACATCCTTTACGATCGGTTACGATGCCTAGAGTACGGAGACCTGTACGATTTCGCCAACTTAGTGAGTTTGATAGGGGCCGTACAGTGGGACTTCGGGAAGCTGGACTTTCTTTTCGGGCAATTGCAGTTAGAGTGCAAAGAAGTGTAGACACTGTGGTTAGGTGTTGTCAGGCATGGCTTCGAGGAGGCCGTACGCAAAGAGCAAGGGGCACTGGACGCCGCCGTAGAACAACAGACCGTGAAGATCGCCGCCTAAGATTATTGGCCTTAAGGGACCGTTTCTCCACTACCAGGTCCATTGCAAATGAATGGTTTGCAGAACACGAAAGACCTATGCATGCGAAGTGTTTACCGATGAATGAGAAGTTTTAGCTTGTTTTCATACCGGCCACACTGGGTCCTCCCTTTAACTCGAGAACACCGACGTAATCGCCTTGAGTGGTGAAGACAACGGTCACTCTGGGATCAGGAATGGAACAGTATTGTCTTTAGTGACGAGTCTCGATTTTGTTTAGGCAAGCACGATGGTCGTGCCAGGGTTATAAGGCGACGTGGTGAAAGGAGGAATCCATCTTGACACCCTGGCAGATCCAACTTTCCAACAAGATAATGCCCGACCACATGTTGCAAGAGTCACAATAGACTTCTTTCAACATAATGATGTCACATTGTTACCATGGCCACCAAGATCTCCCGACTTATCCCCAATTGAGCACGTGTGGGATATGATGGGTAGGAGATTGCTCAATTTGCAACGTCCTCCTCAGACTCTAGAAGCACTTCGAGAGGAGTTGGTGGTTGCCTGGAATGAGATACCACAGGAGGACATTGACCACCTGATCAGAAGCATGCCTAGGCGCGTTGGAGAATGCGTAGCACATCAGGGTGCATCCACACATTATTAAAGGTCAAAGGGCTTTAAAGCAGTGCAATCATTTTGAAATTTTTATCATTTACTTATTATGCTTCATTAAGTACTTATACAAAATTTTATTAAAATAAAACCATTTAAACTGGGTGTTCGGATTTATATGTCACTTAGTATAGCTAGATACTTGTTGAAATGAGCAGATTTGTCTGTCTTTTTGCAAGAAAATATAGAATATAAAATACATTCCAACAAATCCCTCGTTACACCCTCGTGTGCACGTTAAACCTGCAATAACCCCTAAATAGGTACGTGGTTATGCTAAGTGTACCATCACCCGTAGTTTTTGCAGGAATCTGGTTTGCTGGCAGCTTTACCATAATTATTTAGATGCCCCTTAATCGCTTTAAAGGTGGTGCGACTGGTTACATACTGTGAAATGAAAACTGCAATTGCTTGTATGAAAGTTGAAAATCTTGAACAGTTTCGGAGCGATACCAATCCAAGGTGTCAAAATATCGTTGAGGAACTGGAAAGAAGTGTATGAATATGTTGAAACGCAACATCTAACATAAATTTTTGTGGAAAGGCTTTTTCATGTAAGGGTTTAGAAGCGCAAGTGTGCAAGTGTTTTATAGGATAAACACACGGTAGGTGATGTTAAGTGAATGGAATACGGACTACAAAAATTGAAATAAACATGGAGAAACCTTCAGCTGAACTGAACCAAATTGGATTTTACACAGACATCAATAATTTTATAAAAATGTTGGCCCAATTTTATATAATTTCATAATATTTAATAAAGTGATAACATTTCAATGACAAGCTATCACTTCATATGTTTACAGTGATTTGATTTGAATACCTCGATACTGTTTGCTGCCAAAAATCTTACTAATAGATCTGATGGCTCATTGGCTATAGTTGACGTTTGGTACTGCTACCCTACGTATTGACGCAAAATAACGCTCTCTTAGATTGGCAATCTTTATGAAAACTACCCTTAGAATATTTATCCGGTTTGACTTTCCACGCCTACTGGTGGGAAACGATTGTGATCCCGAAATTTGCCGAAAATGAGATACGTTTTTTGGATTACGAAAATCCGTCACTCATTTCCGTCGGTCTGTCTGTCCGTCCGCTAATTTTATAACCACCTAGAACTTGAGAATGTTTTACACAATGTTACTACTAAGGACGCAAAAGCTTTGTAGGTTTTGAAAATCGATCCAGAGGCGGCAGAGGAAAAGGCGTAAGACAAAAAAGTAAAAATCGCGCATACTTCATTTTTTGACGTTTGAAAAAAGAATGTTGGAAGTAAAAAACTTGGGGGTGGCAGTTCTATTGGGATAAGAAGGGCTTATCGCAATTTTTTGATGTTAAATAGTACATTGATACGCTCCCAACATTGGCATTTCTACGCACCTATTAGATATATTTCACAGATCATAGATTTCTCTCTTAAATAAATATTCTCAACTGACGGATCACATACCAACCGTGTGTTCTGGTAGGGTGTCTTTTTCTTAGAGGATATAAATTACGCTGCCTCAGCCTCAGCTTAAGAGAAAAGTTGTTTTGCCCGAGCGGATGAGAACATACCATTAGAAAACGTGAAGAAAGTGAGAATAATACAAGTAAAAAGTGTGTTTGATAAGTTGAACTTTGGAAAGATGGCAGTCGAAAACAAAAACCAAATAACACTGATCAACAGCCAAAAAATATCCTAAATAAAATCAAAAAAATATTACTATTTTTAATGTGCTAAAATCGGAATGAAACTTATTTTTTCAATATTAGTTCAAGTTTTAGAGATACGGTAATTATATGTGTTCCTGCTGTGACAGTGTTAATATACTGTAATTCACAAGAATGCACGTGCTACATTTTTATATTCGGCAAGGAAAGATGATGTAATCGGCATGATTGTGTTACGTTATACATACGTGTACATTATATTGTTTTATATTAGCCATTTTTTCCTCAGTTGGCTGACAGCGTTCATGCAAGATGTCTCGAAAGTGTGTAAACAATCCAGATCAGTTTTGTTACGTGTGTGATGATATGACTTTTGCGTCTCAGAGACGATCTATTACTCCACTAATAACAAAGGCATATCAGCTTTATTTCGGTTGTAAACTAGGTGATCAAGACAAACAGTGGGCACCCCACATCTGCTGTAATACATGTGCTTCAAGTCTGAGGAGCTGGTTAAATGGCAAAAAACGGTCTATGCGCTTTGCTGTCCCAATGGTTTGGAGAGAGCCTACAAATCATATTAATGATTGTTACTTTTGCATGGTACCTTGTGTTGGACAAGCCACAGGTATGTCCAAGAAAAAAAAAATCGGTTATTAACTACCCAAACATACCATCTGCGATGAGACCTGTGCCTCACAGTGACGAAAATCCTATTCCAAAACCCCCAGAATTCTACACTTGCGAATCAGAAAACGAATCAGATCATGGCGATCGAGTGATTCGTCAGGAAGAAGATATGCCTTCAACGTCAAGAGATCCTGATTTTATACCGAGCACGTCATGCCACCAACCGCACAAAATAACACAGTCAGAATTAAATCATCTTGTAAGAGATTTAGAACTTCCAAAATGTAAGGCAGAGTTACTTGGATCAAGACTGCAGCAGTGGAACTTGTTAGAAGACGATGTTTCGGTATGTGTTTTTTGTAAACGCCACAAAAACTTAGAACCATTTTTCAATATGGAGAATAACTTGGTTTTCTGCAGTAACATTAACGGCTTACTGGCGGCTTTAAATATAAACCCAGAAGAATGGAGATTGTTTATAGACAGTTCAACATTGAGTTTAAAGGCAGAGTTATTGCATATTGGAAATATTTTACCATCTCTTCCTGTAGGGTATGCAGTTCACATGAAAGAATCATATGACAATATGAAGTACCTATTGACATGCATAAAATACGATGAGCACCAATGGCATATTTGTAGCGATTTGAAAGTTGTTGCACTTTTACTTGGGCTGCAGCTAGGCTACACAAAGTTTTGCTGTTTTTTGTGTGAATGGGACAGTCGGGCAAAGGCACTTCATTACACCAGACAAAACTGGCCTGTTCGTCAATTCCTAGAGCCAGGTCAAAAAAATGTACAGCATATGCCATTAGTAGATTCGAAAAAAATTTTATTACCACCACTGCATATCAAGTTGGGCCTAATGAAAAACTTTGTCAAGGCATTAGATAGAGATGGGTCAGCTTTTCAATACCTGCGTCAGAAATTTCCAAGACTAAGTGAGGCAAAGGTAAAAGAAGTATATTTGTTGGGCCACAGATTCGAAATATTTTGAAAGATACACAGTTTGAAAACACTTTAACAGGTATTGAAAAAACTGCTTGGAATGATTTCCATCACTAATTTCTTGGGAAATAGAAAAGCTGACAACTATATAACCCTTGTCAAAAATATGCTGTCATCGTATCAAAAGATGGGCTGTAATATGTCTCTTAAGATACATTTCCTACACTCATACCTGGACTTTTTTCCTGACAATTGCGGAGCCGTAAGTGATGAGCACGGCGAACGTTTTCATTAGGATATTTCAACAATGGAAAAAAGGTACCAGGGAAAGTGGAATCCTTCCATGCTTGCAGACTACTGTTGGACTCTTGGTAGAGATGCTCCAGAAACGATCCATAAAAGAACAGCAAAAAGACAGCGCATATAGTGATTCTTATAAGTATATGAATCTTGTTACTTTTTTAATATATCCTTAAAAATAAAAAGTTTTTTTTCTAAACCGCAACAAATTTTTTTATTTCATTGTCATTCTTGGATTCAGCGCCCCAAAATTAACAAAGAAGTGCACTTTTCCCACAAGATACAATTAAATAACTAAAATTTGTTGTCCAGTGTAATCAACAGAATGACACATTTTAGAATATTTTCCATTTACATACTTACACATAACCTGACGGTCTTTATAATCTTTTTTATATTTATATGACAATTATCGAAGAACTGAGCAGACTTTGACCTTACAAAAATCATGAAGCGCAATAAATTTACTGTAGGACGGCTATGGTGTAGATGCGATTTCCATATGACAACGCATAATATTAACCTGATTACTTTCCAGCCATCACGATTTGCACCCTCGTCCTACATTTGAATTTGCGCTTATAAATACCAGCTTACCAAGGATTATCATGTCATACATGGTTATTACAAAAATTTTAAAAGCTCCAAATACGTAGGTATTCATTAAATCAATCAGGCTTTACTATTTACTGATGTGACTATGAATGAGAGTAATAAATACCTATGTATATATTTATTGTGAGGTCGTTCAATTGTTCCGGTATTTACAGAAATTATTATCCAGTATAATATGCTCTTAGCTTGGAATATAAACTTATTTTGATGGTAAAGTTTGCTCCTATGTCTGCCAAAGTTACAGACTTACAAGCTTAAATCACTGTTTTTCGGACAAAATATTGTATCCCGTAGCTCCAGAAGTTTATTTACAATATACTTAATTACGAGGTATGTTCAAAAAAAAATTTCATCTTTTAAATTTTTATTTTTTAATTCACATATTGGTCCTTGTCCTTTTCAAAGTACCCCTCCCCATTTGAGCACATTCTCAAGCAGTATTTACACTTTTGTAAATAGTCCTGGTAATCCTTTTTTGGAATGTTCTGTGTTGAATTTGTTTTAATGTCATCAGTGGTGTCAAAACGGCATTCTTTCAGCACTGATGTCAAAATGGAAATAGGAAATTGTCAGAAGCTAGATCTGGTGAGAACAGTCATTTTATTTTTGTAACAAACTGACAAACTGACAAGGCTGAGTGGGCAGTAGGGGCATTACGTAACTAGAAAGTGAGTACTTTCCGCACGCTGGTAGAAAAAACTGTTTTACATGCAAAGAACTATTCCACGCTATACAACAAAAAGCCTTATCTGTTAGGAATGATTTCAACTGATTTTTGAAACTGCTTATTGCCGGTGCTCTTTGAATATCGTTTAAATTATTGAAAACCGTACAACGGATGTTACTCAAAAGATACCTGATCTTGAGGGGGTATCAGCAAATCTTTAGATCGAGTTTAATAATCGTGTAATCTATTGATGAGCAGCATCCCCAGCTTAAAATGGCATAGTGCAAGTGACAGTTAAAGTTTGAATAGTATAGAGTAAGTAAAACTTGCTTATAAAATTTTTAAACCATAAGCACTTTTACGTGACAGCGATTCTGCATGTGGCTTCCAAGTTAGATGACAATCCATGGTAATATCCAACAACTTAACGGACGATAATATGACGATGACAATAACGATAAATGTATTACAGTAATAACTCATGAAATGATCCAAACGTACAGCCTTTCACACTTTTATCCTACAAACTCTTGTATATACAGGGTGGCGCATCGAAAACGAAACAGACGCATTTACTGGCAGCTCAGTTTTTTTTTTTGGAAAAAACGCTCAGACCCGTCGATTTTGTTTTCGAGGGAGAACCAAGTTTGGCAAAAAATCATTTTTGCACGTGCAGCCCCCTAAGCGGGGGTGACACCACCCCCAAAATCTTGACTTAAATGAAAAGGGGAGGCGAGTGATACCTTATGTTAAAGGTCTTTCAATTCCCTTTATAATGATATAAAATTAATGTACTTCAGTTCAGTAGTTTTGAAGATTTATTGATTTAAAGCTTAAAGCAGACTTTAATAGGTACATCAGATTAGTTTGTACTACTTTCAGAAGAAATTTGACTAAAAGAATTTACTTAATAAGTAAATACTTTTCTTCACTACGCCCATGGTTTGTTTATCATTTTGTTGTTGAAAATAGCTATTAGAGCGTTTTTTTGTGGTAAATAAGTTATTTCTTGAAGAAAGATAAGGAAATATCTCGTACTTATTTTAAATAGGAATTTAGTACATAGTTTGCGATTGATTTGACCAAACTTTGTTGCTAAAATAACTTGTAACGCTTTATTACATAAATTAACCATGGTATATTCCACAGCAGAAAGAGTTGAAATTATCGAAATATTTTTCGGAAATAATCAGTGCGCTAATAGAACCGCAGAAATATTTAATGAGCGACATGAGAACAGTAACGTGGCTCGAAAATAAGTTCTAGAACTTGTAGCTAAATTTCGGGAAACTGGGTCAGTCGCCATTAAAAAACGCAACATTGAAAATCCCATAAAGAACGAAGCAATAGAAGTGGGGGTTTTAGGGCAAGTTTATGTAGATCCTACGTTAAGTACCCGCAAATTGGAGACTGTGTGTGGTGTTAGTCGACGTACTGTCCAACGGATTCTAAAGGCCCATAGTTTTCATCCGTATAAAATTCACCTGGTACAAGAACTTAATGAAGACGATTTAGATCGGCGATTACAATTTTGTGAAGATATGAGTGAACGAATTATAAACGATGAACACTTTCTATTCAACACTCGCTTTTCAGACGAATGTTCCTTTCTCTTAAATGGAGTAGTAAATCGTCATAACTGCCGATATTGGTCCGATTCTAATCCCAGAATTTATCATGAGGTTCATACACAGCAGCCACAAAAATTAAATGTCTGGGCTGGTACTTTTGGCGATCATTTAGTTGGTCCTTTTTTCTTACCTGGTGACCGGTGAAATGTATTTGGAATAACTGGAAGACGCCATAGATCCTGCATTAACAGCCATAATTGAAAATCAGAATGATCGGCGGTACATTGCGAATAGGTTGATGTTCCAATAGGATGGTGCCCCACCACATTACGCATTAGGTGCTCGACAATATTTAGATCAGACGTTTCCAGATCGATGGATTGGTAGAAGATGTGCCATTGAATGGCCCCCAAGATCGCCAGATCTATCACCTTTGGATTTCTTTATGTGGGGTCATTTAAAAAGCAAAATCTATATTACTTAGCCAACATCATTAGAAGATCTGCGACAAAGAATTGTGAATGAGTGCCATTTTTCAAACAAGTTTGTCTTGAGTCTTCATCTTCCCTTGCGGAGTTAAGAAAAAATCTGCAAATCCATTCCTAATGTCTTTGGACGATACTGATGATTTCCTGCCCTTGTTTTGTAAAGGTAAAAAGGAATTTTTCTGCAAAGTCTCTTTTCTCCTCTCGCCCGGAATTAAGTCTCCTGTGTCCGAGTCGAAGGAATCGAAAGTTCCAGGTGGTGTATATAAAGATCGCGATCTACTGCTTCGTCTCAAAAAGTTATGCAAATATATACATGCGTTCTTTTCTTGCAGAAGCATAGGCTTCCCTAGCACTCTAAATACTGATGCAAGTATGCCGAAAGTGTTTTCAACTACAATACGAGCTCTAGAAACTCTGTAATTAAAAAGTCGTTGGGTTGATCCCCTCAACTGGTGCCCACTAAAAGGTTTAGTAGTATTAAGCAACGGGAAGGCATCATTAGCTAAGTACATATGACATTGGTTTATCTTGACCAGGAAGAGGTGATTCTTGTAGAAATCCCAATTCATTGTTTATCAGTTTCTTGTAAAAAGAAGTATTTTTAAAAACGCCTCCATCGGAAATCCTTCCTTGACATCATATACGTACATTAACAAAGATGAAGTTGTACTCAGCATCAACTATAGCTGGTAATATGATGCTAAATGTTCCTTTGTAGTTGTAGTATTGTTTTTTCTTGAAAAGTTGTCTCAATTTCCAACCATTCTCCTGCAGAAGAAGGTAACTGGAACAAAAAATACTGCACTAAAGATATATCTCTTTGCAGATAGAGAAAATTTATGAACATGTGGAAGAAGACAAGCTTGCAGAAGATAATGATACAGAAATAGGAGAAGATAACACAACAGACAGTGTTGACCTTGAAAGTCGTTCTGATACTCGTATCACTGCTGAAGCGACTCCGACAAACAACTGTAAAAAAAGACCAAGAAAGGGAAAACAACCCGTAAATGAAAATAGAGCAGATATAGCATTCACAGCCATGCAATCCGTAATGAATCAGAGAGAATTAAGACACACTAGGGATGAATACTCTACATTTGGCGAAGCGGTTAGGCATAAAATTAGAAAATTGTCTACGGAGTACGAGCATGAAATCACACAGTTTAAAATAAATGAAATTCTCCTCCATGCTTCACTGGGCTACTTCCGTCAAACTACCGGTGTGTCTCAAATTTCACGATTTCCCTCCACACTCGACTCTTGGACCACCTTTGCCTCATGAAATCTGAGTCCCATCTACGGCCACTTTGTTACGCCCAAGTTCATCCCAAATATCCACATATTCACCTCTTACTTCACCTAATACAATAATTTACAGCTTTGTAACTAATAACTTATATACTAGACATAAATGAAATAAACTTACCTTTACTGAGTTTTTTAGACCATCAATTATAGCTTCACAAACTTTGGGTACAATCTCTGAAATACTTTGTTTTGAAATTCTAAAGAGATACATCAAGCTTTGGAACGAATTTCCAGTCGCCAAAAATCTTAGAGTAACAGCTAGTTTTTCTGCAATAGCTATACATTTTCTCCAATTAGTATCTTCACCAGCGACTCTAGGACTAACCAAATTTAGTAAAAATTCAAAGTCGCGAGGGGATATTCTTGTAAAATTTTTGAAGCCACTGGCGTCTTCCATTCTTAGATCTGTTAAAAGAGAACTTCCTGCGCTTTTTTTTAATATTGTCTTAACCCACATCTTCTTTTTCTTTCCTTATAGGACTATTGGTGAGTAGAATGACTGCCGCACTACACAAAATCAGCTCATCATCACTACTTGACATTTTACCACATTGACTTGTTCTTCAGACTGTTCGAGTCAAATTAATCTGTATGTGGACGTTAGTGTTAGTGAACAATTCTAAATAACAATTGTTCACAAACATGCTTCGAGAACTTTTTGTTATCTAACAATGTGTTAGCGAACATTGTTCATGTCAGTGTGGACCCGGCGTTAGATCCACAAGTAGATAAAAATTTCTAAAGTACTTATCTTTCAAGCTTGATGGGGTATATCCACAAAGAGGTAGAGATTATTTAATGCTTGTGAACAGATTAAACTTTCAAACTTTAGAGAGCCGTAGAGGTCAGGCATGTTTTGTTTTTACATAAACTACTAAATGGCAAAATTGAATCTGTTGATCTGTTATCACAGCTAAATATCTTTGTACCGAGACTTAGGCCGAATTTCACCAACAACAGTCCGTTACTCTCCACCTATAGGGTAACAGACCGTCAGATACAGCGAATGAGGTTCAAGTTCCAATCAACAAATTTTAGCAAGCAATAGGTATGAAATGTTGAAAACAAAATATTGTCAAAGTATGAGATGACAACTTGTCATTGAAACATTACCAGCTTATTGAATATTAAGAAATTACATATAATTCAGTCAAAATTTTAAGAAATGTTTGATTTTTGAATTAAATTCAGGTTTTAAGTGCTATTGTTGATTTTTTATTCATGTTTATATTACTTTCTTTAATTGATATGTGATACTGGGTGTTTTTTCCTATAAACCTCTTGCAGACAGCCATTAAGCACCTACTTGATGACAGGCTCTACCAAAAGATATTGCTCGTTTCCTAACATTCATTCATTTACTTGCCGTTCATAACAACCATTATGGCACCTCAGATTGATATTCTCACAAAACCATTCAGGTTTTTTGATATCCATACATCCATAAAGTTGAATATTTTTCGTTGTTCAGGAACTGAGGGTGCGACAGGGTTGCCAGATTGTGCATTAATATCCCGTTTCACCCTCCTGGTCCCAGTGGAGTAAGTTCCGCCAACTGTTGGAATATACTATGCTTTATAAGACTATTCGTGATATTTTTCCCAAAATCATTGCACAACACTTGAAAAAATGCAAATGAAAATTTAAAATTATTTCCATGACGCCGCAAAATAGCTCCGTCAGTACCTTGGGTTATACATCTTGACAGTAGGGATGTTCTATAGGATCTTATATTTAAAAGTATCAATACATTTCACGAGTATCGTGATCTTTCGATCCGGACTGTGTCAGAAAGAGTGACTGCTATTTGGCTGTGACATTACCCTGCCAAATCAGACATATCTTTCATCATTTTCAAAGAAATTGTACAAAATCTTCAAATTTGTGAAGTTGCGAGTTTCACTTCATACGTTGTTACCAGACATGCCCAAATCATCAGTTGCTGCCGTGATATTCATCCCGACCACTGCATCCCCACGGCTAGGCGACTTGTATGTTAAATTTGTATTAATAGGGCAGCGGGTTATGCTATAAATCATATGTCACAGTGTTTGTGCACTGATTGCAACGGTTAAATGATACCAAAAATATTTTCATAAATAGGAGATCTTTCCCATTCCGGATCGAACAATCTACCAAAGATGCTTATAATCATGATACATAGTAAATTTTCACGAAAAAATTCAAAACCAGCAAATGTAAAAGATTCATTTCGCACCCTCCACCACGGGACGTGATCGTCGTTAGACTTGGCAACCCTGCGAGTGACCGATAGATATCCCTGCCAGTCAAAAAGACAAACAATAAACATTACTAGTTTTTATGATTTTTGGACTTAAAAGACATTATTTGTGAAACATTTTTCATAATTTTTTGTCTATGTCCATAGTAATCGCATTATGCATCAGGGAGATGTAGGGATTGACACGTCTTACACATATCTGTGTTTTAGGATGGAGAGTACGTAATGTTTTTATTGCTTTGAAGAAATTCATTAACTCATAAATTAATCAACGATTACTATTATGAGGTAAAGGAAGATGAGGAATTGGATGGAATGTATTTTATATTCTATTTTCTTCCAAAATACAGACAAATCCACACTATTCAACAGGTATGTAATGATAACTTTCAGTATATTGAAGTTGGTAAATTCGAGAGTGCCATGCATTAACAAACGTCCAAATTTAACTCTAGAAAATTGACCTATTATTTGCCGCATTCCCATTCGCTGAGGGGGATAACGGATTGTTAAATGTAAACCTATAACATGTATCAAAATACATGAAAGTTGTCCTGTTTTTTCTGTACAAAAGCATCATGTTGGAATCAAAAAGTGGTCTTGTTTATGATACAGTCGAATTTTCACGATTTTATTCAATAATTCACTAGAAATCACTAATATTCAGAGACCTTTGACAGCTTCTGTCAAATTGCATTTCGATAAGGTATTTTCCCATTGGTCCATAATATTAATGTTGTTGAAATCGGCCCTGAATATATTAATGAAAGCACCTATTAATCAAATGTGTTCAAGCGCGAACAAACTGTCTAACGTCTGTGACATTTTCTGCTGCACTTTTTCAGAAATAAGAACCCAGTGTCGTGTCAATTTGTAGTTTCGCTAAAGCTAGTTTTAGGTAAATTTAGTACATTAATTGTTTTTTATTACCCGTTGCTCTGTAATGGTGTATACTGTTGGGCAATATATGCTTTATTATTATTATAAGTATGCCTAAATTGGCACAAATAAAAGTGCTGATAGTTTTTAATTTTGGAACGTAGTGGTTGTGTCTTCAATTTGCACGAGATTAAAACAGGCCTAGCAAAGTAAAAAAAAATCATAATTACCTAGCACAATGACAGAAATATGGGACTGCTCCTCACGGACGTGAGTCCTACTTAATTCGCCTCGGAGTATCAATGCAGACCGTTCTCCTCTATAGAATTAGAAATCATGTTGAGAAAATGAAGACGGTGCTTGGAGAAAATAGTCGCTTGCCAGCTCGATGGTTTATTGTAGTTGTGACAACGGCTAAATCCCCAAGAGGGTGAGAGGACGACGACAACAAAATTCACCCAGGTAGACCTATATCCATCAAAATCTCCACAACTCGATAATACCCCAGCACTAGGTGTGAAATTAATTCACTACCGCGGGTTGTGGGCCGCAGAACTCCTACACGAGAGTACCGGAAATAGCACCAAGGCACCTTCAACTCTCGTATTTATGGTCGACAGAAATTATAAAAAATGACCTTCAACGAGATGGAGGTAGAGTACGATTTTCTACCATAAAATTATTAGACTAAGAGAAGTGTTTTGTTATGAAAATATAAATCATATTTTTAAGAACTGCTATAAAATTATTATTCTAAATAAGAAAAACGTTATAATTCACTTTATCCAGATATAGTTAATTCTTAGTCGACCATAAAAAGAAACTGTTACAACATTATTTATCAAGTGAAAAAATGTAAATGTAATGTAAAATGCAAGAATTTTGTTATAGCTTTATTATACCTTTACATGTGTCCATATATTTCTCAATCTACTCCGACTATCTCTAAAAACTACAAACATTTATATGAAAGTCTGTTTTCTGATAAATACAGATTTAGATCCAAAGACCATGTCTAGCAGGCTTCTAGTGATTTCAGTGTATTTCTAATGAATAAAGGTTTTTTCTAATAACCACGTCCACCCCAAATCTAGCCAGCGGGTAATCCACTCAGTTTCTTAGTAAATGCAGATTTCAGAACTTATCAACGGGTAATGTGAGGTCTACAACAAACTGATTGTTGGGTTTCGGATTTCTCAATCCAAATATGAAAGAGGAAGTGTTAGGTGTATTGGAATAATTATGTTTTGTGGTCTGTGTGACTCTGGTCACTGGGAAGTCCGTTTGAACACGCTCAGAAATCTTGGTGTGCGTCTGTGCTGTGGTTTGGGATACTGTTTGACAATTGGTAATAGTTGCCATGTTTAGAGCCTCTTTTCTCATCTCCCAGATATTCCAGTGGTAGTCTGCGTCTATTTTCAGCATATCTAACAACTTTTGTTTCGTCTTCTCGAATATTCCGAACCTGTCAATCTTAAATCTTTGTAGGTCTTTCACGTCATACTCACAGGTCTTTTTTGTAGATGGTGGAACGATCTCACTGTAATTCTTTTCACACTGAACTCCTTCTGATAGTTGGAATTTAGGCCCCGTCACTTTATCTTCATGATTTATCTTTACGTGTTTCATTTTCTCCATTCTTGATCTCATCTGCAATACTTCTGTGAAATGGGGCCTATCCCTACAAAGCAATATTATACCGTTCACGTATTTCTTAGGCTTATCAGAAAACACAATTTTAGCTTTTAATGAGGAGAATGAATAGGTTTTGCCTTCAAACGTTGCCAGATGCAGGTAAGCTTTGCCTTTGAACAACCCGCCGCATGTTTCTACAAACTTAAACGGACAGTAACCCTGGCACTCGAGTCCGTTGACGTTAAAATGTTCACACTCATCTAGTGAGAGAATTTTCACGTGCGGATTCAGTTTTTCTGGATCATAATCAATGACATCTTTCACATCGGTTGGAGTATCTGAAATGCCTGCTCCATCTATAAAGTCTAATAACTTCTTATTGTATTGTACCTCGCGGTTGATAGAATTCAGCTTGGAGGATATCGCAGAGATTTTGGTCAAAGGCAGCAAAGCGTCTTGTAGATCTACCCACTTAGAGCACAGGGAGATAAACTCGGGAAATATAACTTCAGCTGCAGTCATAACTTTCTTGCTTATTAATTCGAACATTTCCTCGACCTGAGTGAGTAGATCCGCATATATTTTCTCAGCAGTTTCAAATATTGTATCCACTTTGTCCATCAATTCATTGAGGTGCCTGCGATAGAGGCACAATATACCAAGCGTGTCTTTAAATTTTTCCAAGTCCTTAGCGAGGAATTCTGAAGGTACTGTCAGCTTGAGTTTTATGTCGTTCTTATTGTTCCCTTCCATAACGTAAATTTTATCCAAGATCATTTGCATCGTCTGAATTTTCATCGTGGTATGCTCTACAAAATCCTGCAAAGATCCTTTCAACGAGGCGACCAAGCTGTTCAGTAATTCGATTATATTTTTTATGTCCCAACCAACTGTTTTACCGCTGTATTTGTTGAACAACCTTACACCACCAATAATATAAACTATATCTTTCAACTGCTTCTCTTTTGCGTCCAAATCTTCCTCTTGTACAAAGTCAAACATATCCTTCTGGTCCATCACGCTTTTGAAAGCGTAATACGCTTCATTGTAAACGTGAACTTTTTGCGGGTTTCCTAAGCCCACTAGCAGTATAGCATACGAGATTATTCTTTTTTGCAGAAGCTCGGGATGAAATACAGTACTTCGGATGTCTGTCTTCAAAATTTCCGCTTTTAGAGGTGCCAGCAAAAACCTCAGTTGTTTTTTTTCAGCCAAGACAGCACTGTAAATATAAACGCCGGTTAAATATCAGAAGGAATTATATGGATATACACCCTCCTCTCCACTACTTTTGAAAAGAATCATTTTAAAAATGTTTTCAACCTGTGGTTACAAACGGAAGGGATTGTACGCCACTGCTAATGCAGTATGTCTTTGTGCACGAATGCGCATGTACCCAGCACAGGTAAGAACGATCAACGACTATAAAATTTGGATACTGGTAGTCCAACGAAAAGGTCGTACCCTCATTTGTGACTCTCCCTGTTTACAGGGTGTTTCACAACTTATCCGACAAATTTCAACCACATTTGCACTGTTACGAAAGAAATTGATTTCTCAAAAAAAATGTAATGAAAGTCCTACAGAAATTAAGTTATAAACCTGAGTTTCAATAATAAATTGAAAAATAAATATCTGTATTTTTCGTTCATCGTCGTGATATTAGAACACGTATTAATAATTTATTGTAGCAAATGTTGTACCAAACAACTGACGAAAACAAAATACCAGGAATTTTTTGTTTTTTCATACTGATAAGAATGTGTAAATAAGGTTTAATCTGTATCGTGGGTGATCAGAATGAAGAATGGTCAATTTTTGTGAAGTTAAATAAGAAAGTATTTTGCGAGTTTATGTATTTAGCTATTTATTAATAAAAATGGCATGTGTATACCAATGAGAAGTTAGTGGACATTGTTTTAAAGCTCGGAGAAGCAGGGCAAAATTCGCGAGTGCCTTCTCGTTTGTATGCACACCGAAATCCGAATAGGCACACGCCACATCACGAAACATTAATTCAATTGTTCAATAGACGCACCCTAGATGCATTGCAATCAATGGAAATAATTTTGAACAGCTTTTATAAGTAAGTGAACTGTTAAACTGTATTTTTTTATCTCGATTTCTGTATGACTTTTATTACATTTGTTCGTTCAAACGTCATTTTTTAAGGTTTTAGAAGATCCTGATCATTTTCGCATGCAGACATTTATCTCAGGGGAGGTCGAAGGTCACTTAGTTTTCCTTTACGAGCTGATGACAGCGTTGCTTGGGAATACGGAGTCAATTTACTTGCTCTTGACATTTCATGATCATGACCCATTCATCAGGCAACAACATGCTACTCTTTTCCGTCAGCCTCTCTGTTTGTCTGTTGTCCCCTTCTCTCAATGAGTCCTTTATATCTATGTGACTTGGCAAGTGCTACTCAAATAATGATGAAATTTTAACACAAAGCTCTATAGTTTTTTCAACCACTCCAGTGTTGGCAAAGTTTCAGTAAAGAGCAAACAAAATGAATACCGCTCAAGCTTCGTTCACCACTAGACACTTTCGGAAAATTTTGTAGTGGGATTGAAAGCTGGGGGCTCGAATTTTACCTGTCGAAATATTTCTGGCTGCACTGATAAAAATACTGCATTTTCAGCCCCACCAGACTTGGCAGTCCATGGCTCTCCAGTAAGGTATACAGATGTTTGACTAAGACTACCACATTTGTACGACACTCCATGAAATTTTCAGTAATACCCCAGGAAGGATTCAACAGATGTAGTCTCACTATGTACGAAACGAATTTTTCGCCAGGCAGAACTCGTAACTTTTGTCTGTCCATACATTGTTTCAGCGTTTCCCTTTGAATGTTCCTTACTATGTTATCAGCAGTCGTATCTCCAGGCATCTTAGTTACGAATCACTTGAAATAATAACAAGAAACAAGGAATAAATAGTTCTGCATTCAGACATGCCACGAAACTGCACTGTCACGTTTGTGTAACTGTCAGTGGCTTTAATTTTTTGAGAAGCTAGTCACAGGATGATTACTTTTTTGTAAGAAATGTGAGTGGTCTCCCAGAGTACGAGAGCATTCTCAATCATTTAGCACTAGAACACAAGATGGATTGTCAGAGCGGTAAGGTGGTACTTTGCTCTTAGTTAAAAGTCTCGGCGGTCTGTTAGTCTGCCGGGTCTGAATACCAAGATATTAAGCAATTTCAAGGGTTGAAGGGGAAGGAAGGAATAGAGCAAATAATAAAAGTAAATCAGGTGGGGTGGAAAAAAGCTAAGCATTATTCTTTTGACTACTCGAATAATTTTATTTCAAAAATAATTTTGATCGGTTTTGTGAATTGCCAGGCATGGCGACTGTAAAATTTACTGAGTCACAAACAGAGGATTGATGTGCAATTCAGTTCGATTATAAAGCCATTGTGACTATAATTCTACGTAATCGCTTAGATCAGAGTTCCCCAAACTTTTTTGTGTCGTAGACCCCTTGCCACGTTTTTCCGTGTTAGGTAGACCCCCTACTTACCTGATATTGATTTCCTGTAAATTTCTGACTGTAGTGAAGTTTAGTGTTAAAAACACATGTTAATTTATACATTTATTAATTGAATTTAAATTAAAACTACTCAAAATAAAATTTTGTATCTTTTATGTAAAATATACGTAATAATAAATAAACAGGTGTCTGACCAATAAGTGCCCGCATTGGGAATAAGTGCCCGCATTGAAAAAAAATAAGAGAGATAAAATAAAAAAAAGTGAAAAATAATAAAAAAAAAGTGTTTTACTTAAAATAGTACAATAAGCGAGTTCGTTTATTAATTATTACATAAACGTATGTTCTACAATAATTTCACTGTTAGTTTGATTAAATTCCGCTTCTTATACATTTAAGTTATCTAAAAATAGGCAAAAATTAACGAATTTTAGTGTGTACCTATCCTTGAATTTTCAGAATAATTTTAAAAAAAATATTTTCTATAAGGGGATTCTTTAAAAAAATCAATGCGGGCACTTATTCCCAATGCGGGCATTTATTGGTCAGACACCAATAAACATAAAATAAACTATAAATAAAATAACATCAGCAATAAGTCAATATTTTTAGTGAGAAGGATGAACCTGATGCTTTAATAATAAATTATCAACATTTGGCGTCAATTTTGTAAGGGTTAATCTTAAATCTCCTCGGCTAATGATGTCCAGTCTGTTTCTTTTTTTCGTTAGGAGATTGGTAACAGCGCTGAATCCTAAATGTTGTAAACAAATCTGTTAAATAGGCAATGTCTGTTTTCCTCTTCATTAAATTTTCTTTTAAAATTTTATCTTTAGTATCCAGAAATTCTAAAATAGTCTCAAGAAGTGCAAAAAATCTTGTCAAACATAAGCCTTTCGACAGCCAGCGTACTTCAGTGTGCAGGAGTAATTGATGAAAGTGTTCGTCATTTTCTTCACACAACTGCGCAAATAACCGCGTATTCAACGCGTTGCTTCGGATTCGGTTTACTGCATCAATGACTAAATGAAGTGATTCATGCAATCTAACATTCAAATTTTTAGCAACTAAATGTTGTCGATGGATGACGCAATGTATTGCTAACACCCCTGACACATTTTATTTTAAATAGCTTATAAATACACGATAACGTCCAACCATGGCAGGTGCTCCATCTGTAGCTACTGATATTATATTTGATAAAGGAATTGCTTTTTCAATGAAGTAATCCTTCAAAACATGAAATATTGATTCACCTTTAGTGTCGGTTATCAAAGTTCTTGCGAAGAGCAGTTCTTCGTAGATTTCTTGATTCATAATAAAACGAACATATGCCAATAATAATGCTGCATTATCGGGTAAAGTTGACTCATCCAGAGAAATGGGTCGTTTGCAAATAATTACATAAGAAGCTTTCAATATCAGAACTCATTTCATCAATACGTCTTTCAACAGTATTGTTGCTTAAGGGAATTCTTTTAATGATATCAGATGCAGATTTGTGTAAAACAGTTTTTAAAACCTCTTCAACGGCTGGCAAAATTAACTTCTCTCCGATAGTATGCGGTTTTCCGGATTTTGCTATAAGTAACGAGATATTCTAAGACGCCCGCAAACCATCATCATTTCTTTGTGACGTCGAAGCGAACATTCTGTCCAGTGTAGGTCTCTTCTGAAATTTATCTTTGAGTGTTTGAAAGTATTTCAAATCTTTCTCTGTTTTATCAGGGTGGCATCTTCTCCGATGATCTTGCAGTTTAGATGGTTTCATAGCGTCATTGCCCAAAACTTTGTTGCATAAAAGGCACATAGGCGATTGTTTGTCCGGCAATGATGGAATGAAGCCAAATTTCAAATAATCAACACTGTACTGTCTACATTTCTTTTTACATTCGGACATGGCATCAGTCATCTGTGGTCAAAATTAAATTATTTAAATAAGATAGAAAATCCAGCAGCTGTATATTAAAAATATTTTTTGATTTTTCCGAAAAATTCCATAATTCGAACATCTTCTTGCAACAATTAGCTCGAATTACGGAGATTGCACTGTAATTATATTACCGATTGCTAAAACTTTCAAAAACAAACTATTGAGGAGTACTCGTGTAATTTTGCATGATTGAATATTTAACTACTAATAACTAAAGTCATGATTGGCGTAATTTATCTATCTTTGATAACTACGAGTACAAAACTAAAATTTAATAAAAAATAATGTACTTACTTTTCTCCAGCACTCTCAAACAAAATAACACTAACTCACTATAATTTGTGTGATATACTATCTGTTTATATATTTTTTAAAATATTTTCTTAGCACTTTCCTTTTCAAGATTCAGGAAACGAATAAACGTATTTGTCCCACATTCGTATTTATAGAGTGACGAATTGAACAAGTCAGTGCAAGGTAGCGAAGCTCTGAGACTGCGACTCTCAGGTTTTGACAAGTTCAAAATGTATTGCGACCACAAAGCGAATACCAACATCCTACATCTTACACAATTTTATAAACATATATAATAAATTTTTTACTTCATAGGTACTTTTATAAATAATGTATATGTTTTTATATTATAACATGTATGATGTAAGTAAATAGGTACTATCAGTGTATGTGTTGAGATCCACTATCGTGGACCCCCATATTCATTTCATGGACCCCCAAATTTTTGTTTGCTGACGTAGACCCCTTGCAGGTTGTCATAGACCCCTAGGGGTCGCGATATAGACCACTTTGGGAATGAATGGCTTAGATAGTTTCATTGGACACGGGGCGTTGGTGATTCTCCCTAGGGTTCTGTTTTGCAGGACTTGCGGTCTCTGCATAAGCATCCTGGCGAGAAAATACCAAGTCGTGTATACGGGTATTATTACCATTTTACATAACCGAATCCTTTTTATCAAACTTAATTTTGAATTACTGCTGAACAAGGGATAAATCTGCCGAAAAGCAATTTAGAATTTTGTGTAGTGACGGGAACGTTTTTGTTTGGAGCTGCATATCGTGGAATGTTGTTGGAAAGCTAAGCTTCATCGAAGACGTTATTGTATTTTTCACGAGTCTGCATGACGTTTTGATGTCTGCTGAGGTGAACAGGTGATCACAAAAGCGACACCTTTGTATTAGTCTGTAACTTTGGCAATAAAGAATTTCAGCACCGTATTCATAGCTGTTGTTCATATATCTGGATTATACTATTAAGTGACGAAAATATACGAACTACAGATATAAAAAAGTTTAATAGAAAATTAGTATAGTACATCTGGGATTCATTGATTACGATGTACTACAGGCTGCATTGTCCTTTCCAGAAGCTGTAATTTTACCTGTTAAAATATTAGACACGTTTTTCTCGATAATTGTCTGTCATCCAATACGTTAAGTATGTGCATAATCTAAAAGGTCATAAGAAGAATCATAACAATAACAATCTAGTACATTTTACTTTCATTTTTCTAATCTCTAACTTGTTAGAATTACCTGAATAATGCTCGTACCATATTCAGGGAAGCAAACCTCATTCAATTCGGTTATATACTGCGTACACATTCTGAATCAATTGTATCCCTTAAAATTATATGGCGAGTTCTAAAAAGTAGAGATTATTAACATAGTCAAAAACTGTTTATCTTATTTTATTCGTACCTGACTTGAAATGGCTTTGCTCCTCAGAGCTCTCTTCCATGATGCCGCCGAGCGATGTGCCTGCCAGACAGACCCTTCTGACTTTGGCATCCCATCCTAACCGTGTCGAACTTCGTAAGTTCAGAACTGGCCGATACGACCGCTCCTTTGATCCTCATAGCAGCCGTGGTGTCCCGGCATTTAGGCTTCTGTCTGCGTATAAAAAAGATGTAGTCATGATCATTGGTAGCCAGTTGCTTGTAGCGTTTTCGTTTTATTTGCAAAGGAACTTGTCTAAATAATGAGTTTGTAGCAAGTACAAAATGAATCTGTATTATAAGTACAAAAAGCCACAGCAAAATACGGCACGGGTATTACGTATCTTAAAAAATGACATTTCGCCGGTTTTTTTTTGACATTTTGTAGGTTTTTGTACAATATTTTAACTTAGCACAAGCTGTTGTACACTTGTTGTGAACTCGTTTCGTGGCCACGTGTTGCTTAAGCGTGAGAGAACAGCGATCACAGCAAGCAAAGTGTTTGCACACAAAAAACTACCTAGCCTATAAAATGACATTTCGTCGTTTTTTTTTACGTTTATTAGGTTTTTTACATAATAGCCGTGCCCGATCTGCCTACCTGGCATTGACGGATCTATCATCATTAATTATGAGTCACTTGTCAATATGGGAAGCTTTGAAATATCACTAGATAATCAGCTGTTGTTCTACCGTGATAGATACTCGTGAAAAAAACGGTACGAATACGGACGAGTATGCTGACATTTTGCGCACTAACTTGAACGGCAGTGTTGGATCTCCCTGCAGACATTCGTCAGAAAATTTCTGACAAAAGAGCTACAATTAAGCAAGCGAAGAGGTCGTGTCACCCAGATGACATTGACAGAGCAACGAATCTTGTTCATGAAGTGAGAAATGCCCTTCATGAATTCCGTAATGAGCAAT